ATGGTATTAATTAATGTATTAATTAATCCTGAAACGCACATAGAAAAAAAATATTACTTTAGTCAGAGAATCTCTCGTTCGAAATTCCGGTTTTGCCACAGACCAGATAAAAGAAATTATCTGCCTATTTGAAGAACTTGCTGTAAAGGATACACATTGTTGCAGAATTAATTGTAAAAAGATTGTAAAAAGATAAGAGAAATTTTAGGCTGATAATGAATCTATCAAGAGAGCATTTCAAATAAAATATTTTGAGAAAGAAGATTTAAAATATCCTGCTGTAATTCTGGTAAAAAAGAAACAACAGGACGTCTGATTTACGAAGCGTTTCTAATTTCAATTACTATAAAATCAAATAAAAAAAAAATTTCGGTCTGAAATCTATTCCATTTGAAGAATTTTTATTACAAAAACTATTATCGTTAAAAATTATTGTCTGTGTTATAAAATTAATATTTATTTTAAGAATCTCTATTATAACGAACCGAAAGTTTTTTTCTACTTTCGAGCTTACTTAGGATTTTTATATACGCTTTGATACTTTTAACAGTTAAGTTGATCTCTTTTGATATTACTTAGCTATTTCAATTTAGAATCACAGAATTTTAAAAACTTCTTCTTAAACCTCAAAATAGAAAATCGTCCATTTTTCATTTCGGATGTAAGAGCCTAATTCATATAAAATGAATCTTTATCACAGTCCTCTAGAACTTAAGAAATCTTGAAATCAAGATAAAAGATAAGATAAAAAAATAAAAACTCGAGAATCTTCATTAGAAAATTATTTTTCCAGGTGACTTAATTTGGCGTTTTAACGAATAAAAATTTTAAAATAAGTCGACTTACATTTTCTGATTGAAGAGTAATTCTCTGTGAAGGTCCTTATGATTAGTGGAGGTAAGGCAAGGGTTATATGGTTTCTTCGGCAAAATCAGGCCGTCTGGTCCCATATGAGGAGCCGGTGGTGGCGGTGGCGGTACGCCCAAAACCGGTGCCATTTTTTTTCCTGAAAGAAAATCGATAAATAATCCACCAAAATCGAAACTCAAATACATCACGATAATTACGAGTTCATACTTTAATAAATTTCCAATTTTCGTGCAAAAAATTGTCTCTTTTTTCCAAGAATTCGAGATGAATCTTGAAGATAAAATTATACAACATGAAACAATTAGATAATATTCAATTATAATATAATTTGCATTGTAATTAAATAATATTCAATCGTTTTAAGATCTTTTAAAAATTAGACTTGTATGTGCCATTTTTCGTAATTGAAAATAAGATATGATCCAATGATTTCATCCGCTCGATCTATCAGCTTTATCATAAAGTGGCTTATCATAAAATATTAATTTAATTACGTTACAAAATTTTAATTAAGAATTCTTTTCCCGTGAAATAATTCAGGAGGCGAAGATCTTTTCAATGATCTGCGCATAATTAAAATGTCCTCTGTGCAGTATCTTCTTCTCGAAAAAGTAACAACTCGATACACATGATCACTCTCAGGATTGACGAAACTGCCAACTTGCGACTGATGAAATATTCACCCTCCAACAACGCTATCCTCGCCCTGACCGAATTATTCTGTTCGCACATCGTCGCGCTGCTCGATTCGTATCGCGACTGAGAAACAGTTTCTCAGCACACGAGAATCATATCAAAGAGACAAAGTTCTATATACTTTTGCATAGGGCTTCGCCTATATAACCGCGTTAATGGGATCGGCTGGCCGCGCGAACGGAATCGTCGGCCGCTCAAGGTAAAACAGACGGTGCGTTTCCGTTGCGATTGAACCGGGTCGAGACTTTTAATCCTCCTTTCCTACGCGTATCGTAAGTATCGTCTTGCGTGTCCGAGTGTGCGCTTTCCACTTCCGTTCCGTTTGCGAGCGTGGACGCAACGCGGTTCCAGATAAAAATCGTGCCGGCGTGTCGAAATCCAGCCAGCCTCACGTCGAGAATCGGGAAGGACGTTTACCGTCGGAGATTTTTCGCGCGATTTTCCTCGATCGGCTTTCTCGGGAGATATTCACTTCTCGTTCTGGCAACGGTTCAAATATCGACAGCGCGCTTGATACATTTGTCGTTCGTATCATCGTTATTTAAGATATACCGCGGTCCTGCCGACTGCTGACAGCATGCCATTTCCGCGTGCTCGAGCGGATAACGTGAAATCGCCAATCGAGTTGAAAAGCCGAAATGACGCTATTCACTCGACGCGTCTCGAACCATTTATAACGACGAGAACATTATGACGTAATATATTGGTTTGTACCGGCAAAATTATACAGTCACGTAATATTTATACGTAAAATGATATTAATTTTATGCGTGAAGATTGACGTGAAGAAATGCATACGCGAACATAATTAATTGCAAAGATCGCGATTTGCCTCGTGGAAGTGACCGATGTAAAATGTTGGATGCTTCTCGTGTTACATTCGTGAACCACAGAAAAATGAGCGAATTTATTTCGAGCCCGATAAAACGTTTCGATCGAGCCGCGAAACGAGGTCGCGAAAGTAAGCGAATGTTTCGTTCGCGTGTATCGCGCGGACTGCATACGCGATTTTATGGAAATCCGGTGACAGGAAGAGGTCACGAATACTTAATTATGTGACCTCAAAACTCCACGTAGGTTCGATCAACGAAATACCGTATTAAATTAAATTTATTAAGTTTATTAACGAAGGTAGGTTTCTAACGTAGGAAGCGTAGGTTAATTTTTTTAAAGAAGGAAATGAATGCGAATAGTCAATTATTGTACATCAAATCCTTTTTTGACTTGAAGTTAAATAAAAATAAAAGAGAAAGAAATTTAAAAGAAAGGAAAATTATCAAACTCCTAGCCGAGAGTTGTCTTCTTTGTATTCTCTATTTATTTGTTAAATAAAAATATTTTATTCTATTAAGTTTATTAAGTTCACGCAGCTCAATTACAGATGACGTTACGGAAACCTTCGCGAGAGAGAGAGAGAGAGAGAGAGAGAGAGAGAGAGAGAGAGAGTCGGACG